GGGGGGGGGTAACGGTAGTCGCGAATAGACCGACATCAAGGCTTAGGCTCTCAGTACAGGGCGCACTTGTGAAAGAGTAGTCACCGTCAAAGATTGACGATAGTATGCCGTTTGGATTGTGTTCAAGACGTGACATTAAGAACGACATCTTAAAATGGGACGTAAAGGTGACCGAGGAGAAACTAGTAGAACAGAGCAAAAATGAAACTCTCCCTCGGTTACTACGCCTGAGGGTTCTCCCAACACAAGATGCCCGAGAAAATTGGGGTAGAGACGTGTCGAGGTTGCAGTCTGGTATACCACCGCCCACAGTTTTTGGAGGGGAAAAGGGAAGCGCAAAATTAACGATCGGGGGATGCAAATGCAATTACCGTTAGCGAAAACTCGATTCAGTCCTACGGTTGTAGAAGCATGTTGAATAGAAGAGAGTGGATTGGAGGCACGGAGGCGGTGTGAGATCTTCTTGTGAACAATGGGAGTGATCAATGTAATTCACAATGAATGAATGCGTTTGTGGATACATAGGCTGGTAACATGGTGAAATGCAATGAATTATGTATTGAGCAATGTAAAAGCCATGGTGAAATTTCGATGGTATCTCGTGTGCGAAGTTTATTCACTTAAAAGAACCAACAGTGTTTTTTAAGATCATTCTGATTCTGAATGGTTGACATAGGGTCTGTTCCCAAAATTTAAGTGGCTTAAGAAATCGATAGAACATTCAAATTCATTGTTCACAAACTAAACCGGACAGAAACACACAGTGAGCAGGCGCATGCACTCGTCGCACACATACATATGCTACTCATAGCAGGGGAATAGTAGACCTGTAACAACCTAATTGTCTAATTCTTCCGTGTACGCTCTACTAAAGTGTTTCTATACATCGACTTCAATCGATGGGGATTTACTACATTCGAACAATGCCAGCTGAAATTCATCCGTCTGAAAGTGGTAAATTTTAGCAAGCCTTTGAAAGAGAACCATTGAACACAACACATCGAATACTTAAAAACAGGTCAAATCAGAATAGGTTTTATGCAGCCATCCAGGTGAATTTTAAGCGTTTTAACGAGATACACTGCAGAAAGTGGAGTATAAAAAAATAACAATAAAAGATGCATGAAATACAAATGAAAATAGTACAAACGGAAGAGAAAGAGAAGGTTATAATTCAAGCCCATAACGATAGATATCGGGGATACGGGCGAGACTGTGGGAGATCGTAATCCGATACATTATGATAGGTGCAATGAGAACCTCAAATTAATTACAATTACGGAGATGAAACAAATTTAGCACGTTTCACATGCAGACAGTGGTCCATATTGGGCGGTTTTTCGTGAGTGCCTAGTAGGCTAAAATTGCGAACACATTTTCGGGAGGGCAAATCAAAAAGAAAAGACGAACTGGAAAGACAAAAAACGAGATCGGTCATCCAATGGTTGCCATTGGTGACGAAAGTTTCCATCCACTAGATCACAAAGAAGAAAACACAGATGTGAGGAAACGTCGACCACACTACATATAGGAACGTAAGTGAATACGATAAGTTCCAGCAGTTTCAGTTTCAGTTTTACAACCATTAACCATGCACTTTTGTGCGCCGGTTTTGGTTGCCCATTTGGATAAAATAGCGAAATGAAGATTGGAATGTCGAAGCAAATTCCAGCGGAAAATGGGGAATACATATAGAGTGAGATGGGGAATACATATAGTGTGTTAGGAAAATAACCAGTGGATGCACG